TGTTGTAACAAGCTTCCCATCCCCCCTCCTGCATCTTACCTCCTCAGAAGAGAAAGGTATGCATCTCAGTCCAAATTTGATATCTTCTTACTGACCCTAACATTCATTTTCACCTCCAAAATTGCTGTTGCTCTCTGGTTTTGTCCTTAATTTTCCATAATATAATCATAGACACCTTTAAGGGTAGAGACTCTCAGCTCCATCAGTCCATAATTTTATCCCTCTCCAATACTCCTCACCCTTGTGGAGCCTTTCCTGTTTCTCCCCCCAATCCAGTGGGATATCCCTACCTACTCTTGGCAAGTGGTGTAGGGGAGAGAAAGAGAGAGAGAAAGAGAGAGAGAGAGAGAGAGAGAGAGAGAGAGAGAGAGAGAGAGAGAGAGAGAGAGAGAGAGAGAGAAGAGAGAGAGAGTGAGGGCTACCCTCAAAGAGAGAAGGACCTGAATTCAGCTCCACCTAGCGATCCAGGACATGCTAGTTGTTCAGCTTTTGGTCTTAGAGAATTGCTTAATTGTTGCAGAAAAGGTGTTGACCAGCAGTGGTAGAGAGATTTCCCTCCTCTAGGATTTCCCTACGCTAATGAAACAACAAGTTCTACCCTTACACTTATTATATCCTGCCACTGTAATGCTGGGCACGTAGTAGACACTAAGTGTATGGTGACTGACTGATCTTACCCTCGTATAATCCCATGGCACTTAATCTACATGGGCACATTTAGATTTATCTTGTGGATTACTCTCTTTTTTGAAGGTGGAGGACTGAAAAATGGCAAGTTAAATGATGCGACCCAGAAGTTCTGCTGTTAGATTGAGTTTGAGTAGGAGGAGAAATACCTAGAGTCACCTAGTGAGAGACAGAAGAAGGTTGATCATGGAAGGAAGGAAGGGAGGGTGAGAAGGAACCACCATTTATTAAATGTATATTATGTGGCAGACACTATGCTCAGTGTTTAACAAATATTCTCATTTGATCCTCACAACCACCTTAGGAAGTAAGTGCTATTATTATACCCCATTTACACTTGAAGCTAAAGAAAACAGAAGTTAAGTGACTTGCTTGGGGTCACAAAGCCAGTAAGTGTCTGAGGCTAGATTTGAACTCAGGTCTTTCTGATGCACTCTGTCTACTGCACCTCTGCCTCATGGAATAAGCTCTTGACCACAGAACTGAAATATTTCATTAGAGAATGATAGATAAAATAATTCTTGGAGAAGAACTCCAGAAGACAGTTCCCAAAGAAATTTTCATGAGACAGTTGTGTTCTGATGGAGAATGCTGGCCTCTCTTCCTTGGTGTAGTATTAATTTCCTGGTAGAATTTCAATCAAGTCCCTGCCCTCTATTTCAGTTTTTTCCTCCAATTTAAAAGGAATAGAGATATCAAAGAAAATCAAAGTGTTAGAATTCTAGCCTCTAAACATCTTTTAAATATTTAAAAATTGGCTTGTATTATAGACATACGGTTCTTTTGCAGCACAACATGATAGGCAATTTTCCACATCGAGACAGCTGCTTAAATAACCCACTATCTTAATAAAAAGTTTTATTGCAAGTCCACATGCACTTGGGTGATTTGGATTATTTATGTAGCTAGGGCTCAGGATGTGTAGAAAGAAGTTACAGACTTGCTAACAGCAATATTCACCCTCAGCTTGTGCTTTACTAAGTCAAAGCTCTCAGAATCCACAGAAGTACAAATGGATCAAATTATTATAAAGATCTTCTTTTATTCCTATTTTTCCTATATGTTTATAAGAGAAAAATAAAGGAACAGAATGCTGGATGTAGAGGCAAAGGATGGAAACACATTTATTAAGTACCTACTGTATGCCAGATACAGTGCTAAATGTTTTACAAATATTATCTTATTTGATTATCACAACCACCCTGGGAGGTGCATGCTATTATTATCCCTGTTTTACAATTGAGGAAATTGAGGCAGAGTAAGTGATTTGCCCAAGGACATATAATTAGTAGGAATCTGAGGCCAGTTCTGAACTCAGTTCTACCTGATTCCAGGTTCAGTACTCTCCCCACTGCACCACCTAGCTGTAGAGAACCTGGCTTAGGTCCCAGCTCTACCTCTCACTATCTGGGTGACCTTAGGCAAGTCACTGATTGTCAGTTTCTTCATCTGTTAAAATGAGAAGGTTGAACTTCATCATCTCTAAGGCCCTGCCAGCTCCAAATCTGTCATAATTTAATTTAAAGTAAGTTGAGAGAGCAAACTATATTCATGCTGTTGACCTGCCCTCAGTTCCTTGTATACTTTCTTCTCTCTGGGTTTTCATGATATTATTATCTCTTGATTTAGCAACTCTTTCTCATTCTCCTTTGCTGGTTGATCATCCATATCATACTTCTAACTTTGTTTCTTCGTGCTCTCTCTTGGGTCCTCTTCTCTCTACATTCTCTCTTTTGGTGATCTCATTAGCTTCGAAGGGTTCATTGATCATCTCTATGCAAATGATGACCCAAATCTCAGACCTCTACATCCAGCCCTGTTCTTTCTTCTGAACTCCATTTTCATCCACCACTTGCCTCTTAGATGTTTCTAACTCTATGTCCTAGAAACTTCTGAAACTCAATGTATCCAAAAAAAAATTCGTCATCTTTCCCCAAAACATAGCCTTCTTTTGGACTTCCCTGTTTCAGTTTGAACCCTCCTCATTTCTTCCCTATTTCCCTATTTCTATTTTTTTCAATGAGGAATCTAAAACCCAGAAATGGGAGGTGATTTACTCAGTGTCGTGTAGGTAGCAAATAGCAGAATTGGGATTACAACCCAGTTCTTTAATTGAAATATCCATTTCCCTTTTGGAATGCAAGATTCACAACCTCTGCATCATCTTTGATTCCTGACTCCTCCCTCACTCCACATTTCTACTCAGTTGTCAAAATTTGTCATTTCTACCTCCACAACATTGTTTGGTTTTTTCTTATATGACCACCACCCTAATTCAGGGCTTCAGCATGTGAGGATTAAAAAATTTTGAGAGCCATAGTTTCTGAGTAGTTTCATCATTTTATTAATAAGGCCAGCACATTTATTGATAAAAGGATGGTTATTTGGCTGTCTCTCTCAGACCAAAGACCCCTAATGGCAGTGGGTTCACAGTTTATATGTCCTTCGAAGAGTAGGTGTTCCTAAAGGGTAGCAATCAACACTGAGAAGTTAACACACTGGGAGGTGGGATATATTAAAATGAGGGTATGTGACTTAGGTCACCCAGATCTTGATCAGAGAGACATCAATTTCCATATCACTTGAGGATCCACCTTTTCCCAGACCTGTTTGAGCAAACACAATGAGCAGGAATATACCCATTAGCCTAAAATTAGAATTTCTTTTATTGTCTGATCAGACATAACCAGAGGGGAAAGAAGGAATTTGTTTTGGGGGGGGCAGTTGAGGTTAAGTGACTTGCCCAGGGTCACACAGCTAGTAAGTGTCAAGTATTTGGTCTGAGGTCAGATTTGAACTTAGGTCTTCCTGACTTCAGGGCTGGTGCTCTATCCACTGTGCCACCTAGCTGCCCCAGGAAGTTTCTAAAAAAGGAAGAGATAGTGGTGTGACTTTCTGGTTCTTTTCTAAGAAGTATCTGAATATTGCTCTTTTCCATTTAGGAATAATAAAAATTTTTTTCTTCATATTAGACTTAAGGGATAATTTTGAAATTTTATGGCCTCTTTCCATTCCGGGAAGGGAGTGAAAACTTATTAACACCTGTAGGTTAACTTTTTTTGGAGGGGTGAGGATAGGGGAAGGAGACAGATTATATCCTTATGTGTCTTTCATTATTTGAGCTGGGGTGGGGGTGGGGGAGTCATCCTTATATCAGGATGGCTCAGGACTTTCCCCTTATGCTCATTTTTTGTAGTTCCTAAGTTTCCACAGAGTAATAATGTGGCTCAGTAGCAGAGCAGACTAGACTAGACCAAAAGAGAATCATCTGGACAGGCTGCACCTTGCCCAAAGTAACAGCAATTGAATGGTAGACCTTTGACAATAAACCCTGGAAACAAGAGTCTTACATTTTCTCCCGGGATTCTGTTAACCATTAGAATAAGTCTAAAGGAGCACCAACCATTCAAAACATTTTATAAGGGGGATCAGTGGAAGGCACTGAGGCTATTAAGTCTGAAGAGGAGAAGACTTGGGGGGGCAAGTGATTGCCATCTTTTGACATTTACAAGTTTAAGTAGGGCAACCAAGAAGATGAGGGATTTGCCTTAAGATCTCTGAGTTAAAATTAAAAGGAAGATGATTTTAATTTAACTTAAAGAGAAATTAAGATCCGCCAGTTTGCTTCTTGTCATAGTGAATTACCCTTCCCTGAATGTATTTAAGCAGAGACTGAATAATCATCTTCCAGGAGGTAAAGAGACTTCCTACCTTAGGCAGGTGATTGGGCTAAATGACCATGAGGGTCTTTCCAATTCTTAAGATTCTATAATTCTCTAAAATCTATTTTCCTTACTGTCAGTAAGGAGCACTCTGGACCAGAAGTCTTCAGAGACCTTTTAGCCGAATAGCCCCTCTAAGTCATTCATAGCCTATAGGAATTAAGGCTGTCCCTGAGATGTAGAGGTTTTCGGCTTATCCAAAGAAGACCTCCAAAGTGTGTTGTCATGGAGTTCCAATACAAGGGAGTATTTTAATTTTCCAAGTGATGATTTGAAAAAGATAGAGCATGAGGTAGCATATTTTTGCTAAGAAGTTAGAACAGAAATGTATGAAGAAGTAAAATTTACCCACAAGGAAAACATCTGTTTCAAATTTAAAATATTTATGCAAGTTTTAATATCTGACAGAAAGTACAAAAACAGTTTCTTTTGTACAGAGTAATTATGAAGTGGCTTCTGAGCCCCTGAGAAACCATTCTTTTATCATAATCAAAAATGTGTCTATTGAACCAGATTTCTCTATTCAAGTAATGGCCTTTGAAGTTCCCTTTGTTTGCTTTTTTTCTTTGTCTTTATGTCTTTGCCCATTAGTATGGTCTTTAGCAGAGAAGCAGTCCGGAGGCTTTTGGCAAGTAAGTGCAGATGTTACAGCAATGATGCCCCAGATGACATGGTGCTTGGCATGTGTTTCAGTGGTCTGGGAATTCCGGTGACCCACAGCCCTCTCTTTCATCAGGTGAGAGGATTAATTTCCATGTAACTTTTTTAAGAAAAAAAGATTTCTTCTCCTTGGAGGAGTCTATTTCTCTTCCCTCACCATCATTTCTTTGAGTAGTTTTGAGAACTATGCACACAAGTTCTAGATGTTCATCCCTTGGAGACCTCTTTGATGGGGGCAGGAATGGGAGGAACTATTATGTGACCTACATTAAAAAGGTGGGATTAAAAATGTGTAGGAAAATAAATGGCATATAACAAATATCTATCCCACATCAGGGACCAGAGAAAACCTGCCCCTTCCCATATAGTTGCACATTTTTAATCAAAAAAAGAAGATATTCACTGTTTGCTCATTGGTGGGTGGGAGATTATCCTGGGCAAACCTAATAACATCCCTCTGGCTTGGGTTTAATTCTTTTTCACAATTCATTTTGTTCTGAATTTAACAAAAACCAAATAAAATGGTTATTCCATATACATGGTAGAACAGAAAAAGAGGATTGTACATGAAACTGCAGCACTTCGTTATGTACAGCTTGCTTTTCTTTTAAAGCAGATAATAAATTCAACTTGGAGCTTTCAAAGCTGTTGAATTTAATTCTTCCTGCATGTATAACTTTGCTTCATCTTCTAGTGTTATCACTATCAGTTTTGGAGCCTTTTTTTGGATTTTCCTCCTTTTTACTCTTATTCCCTCTAGTCTGTTAAGCTTCAATATTGTGTCCCGTGTGAGGATGCATCCTGGGGGAAGGAAAGGAGAAGCAGTAGCGATTTCCACAAGGCATCGGTGGTGTATTCGTATCATCGTTATAATCTTTGGGGAAATATGTTCTTCCTCCACTATAAACACTATTGAATGTGTTTATATTCCCAAAATGAAATCTCTGTGGTGTACTTGGATTAATAGCAACAGTGCCTTCAACACCTACGGTATGCTTTTCTTAGAGAAACTCAGAGCTGCTCAGGACTTGAAAAATGTAAATGTATGTCTACTTTAGATGCCATAACAAGTGTTGAAATGGCATTTAAACCCTGATTTTATATCCAACGGAATTCATGTTTTATGTCACCACCAAGTAGCAATTGCTGCCCCTAGTGATATAAAAATTCAACCATGACAGGTATAGCAGTGGAGAAGAGAACTCTAGCAAGGCAGAGAAAGGATTTGCATCATTGGATGAGGCAGACACCCCTTTAACATCCCCAGGTTCTGTGAGGAAAGATAAAAATAGCTTTTTAATGATCAGCTTAGAAAACCCTCTATGACAAAAGGGCATTTTTCCTGTTCTTTCAAAATCCTGTCTGATCTTACCCATTCTGAACCTTAGACATACAAGGTTATAAAGACCTAGAAGAACAGATGAGGTTTTTTATTCTTTGGCTCTCAAATGAAAAATAAAAAAAAAACTCTTGGAGTAGAAGAGATGTAATCCATCACTATATTAGCATGACAGTGCCTAGATGTGGGCAACAGCCCTGTCTATCCAGGGAAAAACTTGGCCTATAAAAGAAGAAAAAGGGAAAGAAATGTATTAGAATAGAATGCTATGAGTCTGCTCACACAGGAAGAGGCAGGCAGGGATCATATATCCTGCTCTTCTATTCTTTTTAGCAAAGGAAAGAAAATAATCTATTCTTTGGGCATACATTCTAGGGAAGAAATTTTAAAGGAATTCATTTTTTACTTTCCCATTCTTAAAAACTCCTGATTTGTGTTCTATAGGCAATGTATTTTAAGCCTTTTCCAAGACTGAAAAATGTAAGCAATCTAGAATTCCTAGCAAGTTCTGTTTTATCTTGTAATGTTCAAAGTATCTCCTAGAGAGCTTTATACAAATTTGAAAACTGTTTTTTTTTAAACTTGCAAAGTAAATCTGGCATAATGGAGAAAAAAAAACACTGAGCTGGGAATCAGGAGACTTGGGTTCTCATTCCAAGCTCTGGCCCTCATTCACCAAGTGACCTAAGAGCAAATCATTTCACTCCTCTGGAACTCAGTTTCCTCATTTGTAAATTGAGAGAGTTGGCCTACATGCCTTCTAAAGGTCATCCCAGTGATGGGAGTCTGTACTCTGAGACAGGGAGATGAACATCAGTGGCTATACATTGACTTACTGACAAAGTTGGCATTAACGCTCAACCTCAGACTCTTCTGCTTGGTTTCTCCTTGACAGACCATCTGTTTCAGTGAATGGGTTATATGGAATCCTAATTCTAGAAAGGGAGTCAGAAAAAGTCCAATCCATCTCTTTACATCCAAACAGAATTCCTTAAAGGAAAAAAAAAAGGATCTGTAAAATAAGGACTTTGATGTAGGCAATGTGATACAATGATAATAATAATAATTGTAACTAGCATTTCTAAGATCCCTTGTGGGATAGGTACTGTTATTATCCTCATTTTATAGATGAGAAAACTGAGACTTGAAGGGAGCGAAGTGACTTGCACATGCTTGCACAGCTAGTAAGTATCTGAGGTAGGATTTGAAATCAGGTAGTGAAAAGAACCCTAGATTTGGAGTTGGAAAACCTCTGTTGGATCCTGACTCTGTTACTTCCTATATATGTGACCTTAGGCAAGTCACTTAATCCCTCTGGGTTTTGGTTTCTTCATCTGCAGAATGGAGGTGGCGTCCCATTACTATGATATTTCTAGTAGCTCACATTTCTATGGTGTTTTAAAATTTATGGAGCACACCTCTGTGAGGTAAGGCAGCACAAGTAACAGCAGATGAGAAGACTGAAGTTCATAATGGTTATGACTTGCCCAGGGTCTCACAGTCCTGTCTTTAAATTTTATGCTTCTGGACCTTGGGAAGAACAGAACAGCCTCTTTTTTCCCCCCAGTTCAATGGGTCCCAACCCTTAGAAGAGGAGTTCTTGATGTAGAGTCCATGACCTTAAAAAAATATATATATATATATATGTGTGTATATGTGTGTGTGTGTGTGTGTGTGTGTATGTCTGTGTATATGTATATATATGCATATAAATGCATATATATATGTTTTCATAAGTATATTTCAATATTGTTGGCTTCCATTGTAATACTATGTATTTTTTTATGCATTTTAAAAACATGATTTTGAGCCATAGACTTCACCAGACTGCCCAAGGGGGCAAAATCAGATTAAGAAACCCTACCTTAAAACTATAAAGTTCATATTTCAACCCAACCTATATCCCCCCTACTATAGTTTAGGCATGGTTTCCTTTGTTTATATTTAGTGGAGTTAGAGAACAGTTAGTCAGTATTCTCCATGCATCTGTTCAGGGTGTCCTATTTTCTCATCCTCTAATGGTAACCCATGAGGTGTGTCTCTTGTGGCATTATAGAACATTTATTCCTTTAAAGGACTCCTGGGTATTAATATACACCTCTCTGAATGGATTTCACTTTCCATGAGCTCCATCTTGTTCTTTTCCAGTACTTCATTTATTGAAAATGATTAGCACATGTTAGTGCTTAATAAGCCAGAGTCTCCCAACATGACTTCCTGAGACAAAATCAGACCCTTTTGTAATCTGCATTCACAGAAAGAAATTGTGAGTGTCTGTTTTTATTTCCTGTTAGCTGTTTTAGTAATGCAAACAGCTCATCCTTAGCCATGCAGAATGAGTGAAAGATTTGCCTCTGTTGCTCTCAATTCCCCTTTCTGGGGCCATTGTGAAATTATCTGAGGAATGAATTGGGAAGGAAAGCAAAAAAATCTAACAATATGTCTCCCTTGGCTTTTCCCTTCCTTCCTGACAGTTAAGCCTCAGAGAGTCTGACAAACATCAAATGATTTATGATTGCCCTTATTTAAAAAGTTAAAAACCAATTAGAATAGATACTAGCATATATGTGCATATATGTATGTGTTTATGTGGATATATTTTCTGGTTTACTCTTCTCCAGTACAGCTCCCTTCTAGTTATTAACAACTTCAAGGTTTAGAACTTCTTAAAACCAATGTTACCTAGCCATTCTTGTTTTTTAATCTTTCCTCACTGATCTCAGTGTTTGAGCCCTGGCTCAGGGAACTTTTTCTACTTTTCAACTGGTTAAGGGGCTCCAGCCTAACCTGAAGTTGTCTTGGTGATATTTATAGATGAATGAATGTATGAATGAATAAAAAATCATTTTATTAAGGGTTCACTTGCTTATGGTGTGCAAAACACTGTGCTTTTGGGGGTACAAATAGAAAAAAATAAGATAGTGCCCAGTGTGTACTTTTCAGGATCACAAACCCCTCATTTTACAGCTCTTTTAAAAATGAATGAATGAACCCTACAGGAAAGTAGGGGGGAAGGGGATAAGAGAGTGTTGGGGTTGGTAGAGGGGAGGGCAGATTGGAGGAGGGGGTAATCAGAAGCAAACACTTCTGAGGAGGGACAGAGTAAAAAAAGAGAATAGAATAAATGGGGAGTGGGATAGGATGAAATATGGTTAGTTTTCTACAACATGACTACTATGGAAGTGTTTTGTATGACTACACATGCATAACGTGTATCGAGTTGCTTGCCTTCTCAATGAGGGTGAGGAGGGAGGAAGGGAGAAAATTTGGAACCCCAAGTTTTAAAAACAAATGTTAAAAATTGTTTTCACACTCAACTGGGAAATAAGATATACAGGCAATGGGGTATATAAATCTATCTTGCCCTATAAGAAAATAGAAAGGGAAGGGAATAAGAAGTGGCAGGGAGATAGAAGGGAGGGCAGATGTGGGGAAAGAGTATTCAGAATGCATGCTGTGTTTGGGTGGGGGGAGGGATGAGATGGGGAGAGAGAATTTAGAACTCAAAATCTTGTGGAAGTGAATGTTGAAAACTAAAAATAAATAAATTAATAGAGAAAAAAATAAATGAGTGAACTAATGAAGGCAAAACACATTTATTAACCACTTTCTATGTGCAAAGCACAGAAAAGTAAGACAATTCTTACTTTCAAAGAGTTCACATTCTAATGGGAGAGACGACACATATGGAGGATCTCAGCTATGAATCAGATTGAAAGGTCCCATGGTCCTTGGGGTGCAGCAGTAAAGCAGATGGCAATACTTCTTCATTAACATCATTGCCAACAATAAAATCATGTCAGTTCTTGAAGTTGAATCATTTGACAATGACAAGGACTTTAAAAGAGAAAACCATATGCTTTGGATAGAAGAGAAAGAGATGGATGAGGTATTTTTCCCAAGACCATTTCTTAAGATTATGATTCAGTTACAACCTATTCACTTAAAGGGAATAGTCATTTACTTCAAGTGTTAACATCTCATTTGATATTTATAACAACCCAATAAAGTAGGTGCTATTATTATCCTCATTTTGCAGTTGAGGAAACTGAGTCAGATAGAGGTTAAGTGATTTGCCCAGAGTCATACAACTAGTAAGTGTCTGAGGCCAGATCTGAACTTAGGTCTTCTTGACTCATTGCACAGTTCTCTGTACACTATGGTGTCACCTCGCTGCCTCTAAATAAGCGGTATGTTGAGAAGAAATATGGTATTATTCTCTTTATATGAGAAGCTGTACTTTTTAATAGTAGGTCTATCACTAAATCAGTGTACAATAGTTCATCTTCTTATGTCTTATCATGGTGGAGCCAGTCTGGAAGGTAAGAATTCCCATTAGAATGAAAGTTCCTTGAGTATAGGGATTGTTTTCTTTATTCTTTGTATTTATATCAGCAGTCTTTGCAAAGCTGAATGGCACACAGCTGCACTTAATTGACATTGGACTTGGCGTCAGGCAGACTGGAGTCTGAGCCCTACTTCAGACATTTACCAATGGTGCGATGTTGAACAAATCACATAGCTTCTCTCAATCTCATTTTCTTCATGTGTGAAATGGGCACCTACCTCACCGAGTTGCTGTGAGCATCCAATGAGACAACACACATAAAGTGCTTTTTGAACCTTAAAGAGCTGTATAAATTCAGGCCATTATTATTACATAAATGCTTATTGATTGATTCTTGAAACCCTAGTGTTTGAAGGGATGGCTCTAAAGGTTGTTGTCCACATGTGCTGTATATGCATGGAGAAAGGGAATGGCAATTGGTGCTGAGAAGGAAAATGAGGGCTGTACATGGGTAGCCACTGTCTATTTTCTCCATCATAAACCTTGCCGTAGCTTCTAATTATGAATTTCCTACTCTCAAGGGACCATCATTTACTGGAGAAAGAACGTCAAATGACCCCTGCCTTCTTGAACCCCTTGGTTCTCCAGTCTATACCCAGAAGTGCAAAGAGAATTGGGAGGCCACTAACAAGGGTTTGGTGGACATCTGCCATGCCACTGCTTCACAGTCCACATGACTTGTGAAATCTTAATGTTATCCATCATAGATTTTGCTAGAACAAAGGGATTGAGGGTGCAAGACTCTAAACATCATAAAAAGAAACTGAAACCAGATGCTACTTTTCCCAGCCTGGGCAAAACAGCTATCTATTCCTCTATAAGTCATCTGAATTTTTAAAATCTCACTTAAATTGTTTTATGCAGTCTTGGGGGGGAGGGGAGGTGTCAAAACTATGTGATACAGGTATTTAGATACCTGTATCGATATTATATATTCATATTGATATTATCTATCTATATTGATAGTATAGATATCTCTATCTCTATCTTTATATTTACATATTTAAGGGCCAGAGAGGAAAAAGAGGATTAGAAAGAAGTCCCGTAGGCAGAGGTAAAGGGTAGAGGAAAGGTGGTACCGAAGATTCCAGTACTGATTTTGGACACATGCAACTACTATTAGAGTAACAAGATTATAAAGCATTCTTCCTGAAAATATGACTATGGAACCAAAAGCCTCCATGGGGGAAGGAAATAATTGTCCCTTTTTCTTCCAGGCTCGACCAGTGGATTATCCAGAGGACTACCTTTCTCACCAGGTTCCCATATCATTTCACAAACACTGGAACATTGATCCAATAAAGGTGTATTTCACCTGGTTGGCACCCAATGGGAAAGATGCCTCCAGTGGCAGGAAGCAGGCACATTTTAAAGAAGAGTTATAAGCATCTCATGCTGTCAAAGAAGATGCTCATGGTGGTGGAGATGGAGTCTCTAGGCATTCTTATGCAATGTTGTACTTATATTGCTTGAATGTGCCATGTTGCATAGGAGACTTTAAGTCTTAGGAGTGAAACTGTATATTGTTCTATTGCTTCATTTGGGGGGCTGAAGCAGGGGAGAGGGGAGGGATCAGAGGAAGGGGAAGGATCTAACTTTGACTTTGCTTTTTCCTTTGTGAAGATGTGAGAATGGGTCTTAGAATACCACCCCTTTGATTTTGAATCATGGGATTATTATATTACATCGTATTTAACAGATATTTTAAAGCCATGATGAGGTATCTTCAACAGTTCATCCTGGGGAAAATAAGAGTATCACCCTCAGACTCCATGTTGTTCCCTTATACTGCAACACATCTTGCAACAAGGGGTGACTTCTTGTTTAAAACAATGTGCAAAGAAGAATGAAGTGTTTTGGCACAAATGTTAATGGGAACCTATTCCAATTTTAACTTCTGGTTTTCAAATATACTACTAATGATGAGAAATACTCCCTGGAAAAGGAGTAGGAATGACATTGTTGATTATGAATGCTCATAAAATACTGGCTTATGGAAACCTCTCTGGAAGTGAATCTGTGACCTCACTGATTTGAGAATTCCCTCCCAGGATGCAGATTGCTGCTGCTGCCCATCCCCTGGGACTCTTGCCCATGTCCTCCCAAAAGTTTGCCACAGAGGCTCAATTCAGTGTCCTGTAGTACTTCCTTGCTTTCTCCAGATATCATGACAGTACCTGTGGAAAACCCTGGCTGGCTGCCCATTCCTTGTTTTTGCTGGACATTTTTTATTTTTTACTTTTTATTTGTTAATTTTTTCATTCTGTATGTGTGTGAAAAGGATTTTCTAATAACCTCTTTAGACTATAGGAATTAGTCTACAGCCTACTGCTCCCTGAAGCTCTGTCTTTGTAGTCTGCATACAATCTCAGAATGGACTCATTGTTACCACATGATGGTGGCCATCTACACCTGAAAATAAGAATAAAGTATTTTACCTGAGTTGATGAGGCGCAATTTGGATCCTAGGAAGTGAACTAAATTTGGATATTCTGAGCCTGCTATTTCATAGTAGTTTTGTTTTGTTTTTGGTTTCACTGAATGTTGCTTCATAACTCTGTCTTGACTCATTGTAGAACACCATACCTTAACACAGGTGGACAGTGAGAGCATTGAGTAGTTTTCCTGGACTCTTAAGGAATGTATTTGGAACATGATGTTTTGAAGCTACTTTCATTTTTAAACCTCATCCAAATGATACCTTAGTAATGTAACACATCCATGTAAAGAGTATTATGTATTTTAAATCATTTTAGTTTTTTAATTCAGTTTTGTAAAGATATTTGTATAAAATCTGATTTTAGTATTCTAATTTTTGTAAAGTAAAATATTTTTCTTTTCTTTTTGTAAAAAAAAAATAAAAAAGACAAATGGACATGCTGTTCTCTAACTTCATTGGCTATACTTTTGTAACCAAATATAAGGTTTAAAATCCATATTGTTAAAATAATGTTTTTTAAAGTTTTCCATATTTTTCCTGTAGTTTAGCATTTTACTTATTTCCAAATTAATCCAAATTCCAAATTGGAGGACACTGAAATTGATTAATGACTGAGAGCTCTGTGCCCATTTTGACTTGTAATTTTGAAGCAGGGGTGCTTCATCTCTTTGTGTGTGCCAAGGACCCCTTGGACAGTCTGGTAAAATCTAGGAACCATTTCTCAGAATCATGTTTTTAAATGCATAAGATAAAATCTACAAGATTACAAAGGCAGCCAGTTGTATTGGGATAAAATTAACAAAATATTAAAAAAAATAAGTTTGTGGACTCTAGGTTAAGAACTGCTGCTTTAGAACATTGAAATATGAACACTCGTTTATGGTCAGTCAAAATAATGTGCCAGGAGATGTCAATAGAGCATGATTCCTGAAGTAATCATGCTTTAGAGAAGTGTGAATTCTGCCAGGCTACTATTATCACTGTCATCATTGATATTAACAATAGGTGATCTTTAGTCCATTTCCCAAGCCTATATAGGCTGCAGGTTCCCTAACCCTGGAGGTGGTCCACTAGGACCTGGCTGAGGAGAGCTGTTATTTCCAATGATCATAGAAAGAATTATAGCTCGAATTTACATGGCACTTTAAGATTTCCTTAAATATCCCTAAGGAGATAGGTAATGTAAATTAATATTATTTCCATTTTACAGAAGGGCAAGTTAAGAGTGAGAAAGGTAAAGTGATTTAGGCATTTTGGATCATAGATCTACAGTTGGAAGAAACCTTAGAGGTCATCTAATCCAACACTGTCATTTTACAGAGGAGAAAACAGACTCAGAGAGATTAAACAACTTGTCCAAGGTCACTTAGGAAATAAGTGGTAGAATGGGATTCAAACTGAAGCCTTGTCAGTGTGCTCATTACATCACATGGTCTCTCAGAACCCGGATAGCTGCCCAGATCTCTTGCCTCCAATTCAGCACTCTTGACTATATCATACTTGCCCCTCTAAAGGACAATGGCTCCCAGACAATAGTTTACTTGATAGAATCTGAATTGATTGTGTGTATATGTGTATGTGTACATATGTATATCCATAGAGAGAAAGAAATAGATCCTACATGATACTTTCTTTCCTCTGTGTTCCTATTAGTGCCTTCTTACTGATATGAGAGCACCTTCCTTGGGACAATGGGAGTTGGAGTAATTATGTTTACTGCTTTAAACTGTATAAGCTAAAGATGAATAAAAAAAAATTTGATAACGTTTCTGTTTTCTTAAATGTTGTACTCATTAGTTCAAAGCATAGAAAAACATGAATTAATGAAATCAAAGAAAAAGGTGAGAAGTTCAGGAGAGACGCTTTTGCTTTGGTTTGGTTTCTTGAATAAGTCAACAAGCATTGTTGACATTGGAATGTCATTTGAAAGGCAGAGTGGGGTAATGTCCAGAGAGCTTAAAGATCTAGATTTAAGTCCCATTTCTGATATACTGGCTGATCCTAGGTAAGTCCCTTAGCTGCTCAGCACCCTCACAACTGACACTGTTAGCTGCAGAGAAGTTGGTGGGGGGGATTTCCACATGAGGCACTGCCTAGATTGTTTGAATCAGAGTTCTGAATTAAAAGAAAACTCAGAAATTTATTAAGCAGCTACTATGCATAAGGTACTTTACCTTGAACCAGGGATACATACATAGATGAAAATTAATGCAGTACCTTTCCTCAACAACCTGTAATAAATCAAAACAGTAAGCTTTATTAAAAGGCGATTACAGCAACAAACATATATTAAGTGGTTACTGCATGCTAGGCAGTGTGCTAAAAGCTGGGGCTATCCATCCATCCATCTATCTATCCATCCATCCATGTATCTCCATATACTATACAATCATTTTTCACTTTGATCATATTGATAAAAAAATTAAAATAACTGATCCAAGACCTAACCAACCCTTGAAACATCATTCAATTTGTCCTACTAAACTGATAATGAACTGTTGATCTGGGGTTGTCCTATACTCACTTTATAAATTTAACACTTCATTTTTCAGTTGCCAGGTTCCAGAAGACGGCCTCTTCAGATGCATATGTATATATTTTTTATCAGCCAATAATTGAGGGCCTATTTTATTTTCTTTCTTGAAAATCAGGACATTTACCTTTCTCCAGTCCTGTGAAACATCTTCCATTCTCCATGATCTTTCCAAGATCACTGATGGTGGCTCAACAATCTTTTAAAAAAATTTTTAAAATATGAATTTATTTATTTTTAGTTTTCAACATTTACTTCCACAAGATTTTGAGTTCCAAATTTTCACCCCATCTCGCCCCTCCCCCACCCCAAGATGGCATGCATTCTGAATACCCCTTCCCCTAGTCTCCCTCTCTTTTATCTCTCCCCCCCTTCTCTTATCCCCTTCCCCTTCTATTTTCCTGTAGGGCAGGATAGACTTCTGTACCCCATTTCCTGTATTTCTTATTTCCCAGTTATGTGTGAAAACATATTTTTAAACATGTGTTTTTAAAACTTTGGGTTCCAAATTTTCTCCCTTCCTCCCTCCCCACCCACCCTCATTGAAAGGCAAGCAACCCAATATAGGTTATACATGTGCAGTTATGCAAAACACTTCCATAGTAGACATGTTGTGAAAAACTAACTATTTCCCTTAACCCTATCGTGCCCCTCATTTATTCTATTCTTTCTTTTGGCCCTGTCCTCCTCAGAAGTATTTGCTTCTGATTACCCCCTTTCCCAATCTGCCCTCATCTCTATCATCCCCCTGCTCTCTTGTGCCCCCCTATTTTCCTGTAGGGTAAGACACATTTCCATACCCAATTGAATGTGTATGTTATTCCCTCCTTAAGCCAAATTCTATGAGAATAAGATTCACTCATTCCTCCTTACCTTCCCCCATTTCCCCTCCACTGTAAGAGCCTTTTCTTGTCTGTTCTTTTTTTGTGAGATAATTTACCCCATTCTACCTCTCCCTTTCTTCTTCTCCAAGTATAATCCTCTCTCATTCCTTAATTTTATTCTCCAGATATCACCCCTTCATCTTCAACTCACCCTGTGCCCCTCTCTCTCTCTCTCTCTCTCTCTCTCTCTCTCTCTCTCTCTCTCTCTCTCTCTTCTCTCTCTCTCTCTCTCCATACATATAATTTTCCCCCCTCCCACTACCCTAATACTGACAAAGGTCTCATGAGTTATAAATATCATCTTTCCATGCAGGAATGTAAACAGTTCGACCTTAATAAGTCTCTTATGATTTCTCTTTCCTATTTACCTCTTCATGTTCCACTTGAGTCATATTTGAAAGTCAAATTTTCCATTCAGCTCTGGTCTTTTCATCAAGAATGCTTGAAAGTCCTCTATTTCACTGAATGACCATTTTTTCCCCTGAAGGATTATGCTCAGTTTTTCTGGGTAGGTGATTCTTGGTTGTAATCCTATCTCCTTTGCCCTCCAGAATATTATATTCCATGCCTGTGGCCCTTTAATGTAGAAGCTGCTAAATCTTGTGTTATCCTGATTGTGTTTCCACAATACTTGAATTGTTTCTTTCTGGCAGCTTGTAATATTTTCTTCTTGACCTGGGAGCTCTGGAATTTGCCTATAATATTCCTAGGAGTTTTCCTTTGGGGATCTCTTTCAGGAGGAGATTGGTGTATTTTTTCAATATTTATTTTGCCCTCTGGGTCTAAAAAAAAGCTTTCCTTGATAATTTCTTGAAAGAGGCTCTTGTTTTTGATCATGGCTTTCGGATAGTCCAATAATTTTTTAATTCTCTGCTGGATCTATTTTCCAGGTCAGTTGTTTTTCCAATGAGATATTTCACATTGTTTTCTAATTTTTCATTCTTTTGGATTTGTTTTACAGTGTCTTGATTTCTCATAAAGTCACTAGCCTCCAATTGCTCTATACTAATTTTTAAGGAAGTGTTTTCTTCAGTAATCTTTTGGACTTCCTTTTCCTTTTGGCCAATTTTTCTTTTTAGGGCATTCTTCTCCTCATTGGCTTTTTGGACCTCTTTTGCCATTTGGGTTAAGCTATTTTTTAAGGTATTATTTTCTTCAGTATTTTGGGGGATCTCTTTTAGCAGGCTGTTGACTTGTTTTTCATGATTTTCTTGCATCACTCTGATTTCTCTTCCTAGTTTTTCCTCTACTTATTTTATTTGCTTCTCAAAATCTCTTTTGAGCTCTTCCAAGGCCTGGGACTGAGTCATATTTTTCTTGGAGGCTTTGGATGTAGGAGCTTTGACTTTGCTGTCTTCTTCTGGTTGTATGTTTTGATCTTGTTTGTCACCAAAGTAAGGTAATATAGTCTGACTCTTTTTGTGCTGCTTGCTCATGATCCTGGACAATTACTTGAGTTTTAAACTATTTGTTAAGGTAAGAGTCTGCTTCCAATGTGGAAAATGTACTGTCCCAAGTTTTGGGGGTTTATACAGCTGTTTTCAGAGATACTTCTAAGGCTCTGTAAATTTTCAGTTCTTGCAAGGTGGTATGATAAGGAGCAAGGTGTTTACTCCTTTCCTGGCCTGTGCTCTGGTCTATTAGTGACCACAAGTGTTCCTTTCTGTCCTGGAACTGTGAGGAAGGTTTCCTCTCCACAGTCACTACAAGTTCCACCACACCAGCACTCCTCTTCGCCCCAGGACCTCTGCCCAGAACTATGACCCAGATCCAAGCACGGGCAAAGCAAGAAATTCCTGCCTCAGCAGTGGCAAAGAGAGCCCTACAATCCCCCTCTGCTCAGCCACTTGATTCCCCCTCAGTTTGTGGGCCGGAAGCTCAGGATGCAGCCACTGCCCCAGCACCTGGGCTCTGCATTCTGGAACTGGCTCTGAGACCTAGCTCCATTCTCACTGCAGAAACAGACTTTTCCCACTGACCTTCTAAGTTGTTTTTGGCATTCCTGGGTTAAGAAGTTTGGAAACCACCACAGCTACCTGTGATTCAGTCCTCTGAGGCCTGCTCCAGGTTTGCTGCAGCCTGCGCCCCCACGCCACACTGGGCTCTTCTCCCTGCCTGGTTTGATATACCTTTCTGATCAATCATCCAGATTGTCTTGGGCTGGAAATTTGCTTCACTCTGTCTTTTTGTAGGTTCTGCTGCTTCAGAATTTGTTTAGAGCCATTTTTATAGGTATTTGGAAGAGTTTGCGGAAGAGCTCAAAGCAAGTCACTGCGTTCACTCCGCCATCTTGGCTCCACCTCTGTGGCTCTTCCAGATGCATATTTGCTCTGGCTTTGTAACAAAGATCTTAACATTTGGCCCCAGAAGTATTATTTTTCTTTTAAAAAAACTTATTTAATGATTTATTTTTCCCAATTACATGTAAAAACAATTTTAACATTTTTTCTTTTCAAATTTTGAGTTCCAAATTCTTTCCCCCCATCTCTCCCCCCCATTGAGAAGACAAGCAATTTGACATAGATTATACATGTGTAGTCATGCAAAACATATTTCCAGGCAAACCATTCTGTGAAAGAAAACACAGACAAAAAAACCCAAGAAAAATAAATAAAGTAAAGAAAAAGTATCTTTGATTTGCATTCAGGCTCTACCAATTCTTTCTTTGGAGACAGCCCCTTTCATCATGTCCTATATATTTGTCTTGGATCATTGTATTGCTGAGAATAGCTCAGTTATTCATAGTAGATCACCATACAATATTGCTGTTACTATGTACAATGTTCTCCTGGTTCTGCTCATTTCATTTTGCATCAGTTCATGTAAGTCTTTCTATATTTTTTTTTCTGAGAGCATCCTGCTCATCATTTCTTAAAGCACAATAGTATTCCATCACAATCATGTACAACAACTTGTTCAGCCATTCCCCAATTGATGGAAATCCCTTCAATTTCTAATTCTTTGCCATCACTAAAAGAGCTGCTATAAATATTTTGTACACATAGGTCCTTTTCCTTTTAGTTTTTTAATCTCTTTGGGATACAGACCTAGTAGTGGTTTTTCTTGGTCAAAGAGCATAGTTCTAAACTGCTATTCAGAATAGTTGAATCAGTATACAACTTCACCAATAGTACATTAGTGTTTTAATTTTCTGAATCTTCTCCAACATTTCTTATTTTCCTTTTCGGTTATGTTAGCCAATCTGACCATTGTGAGGTCAGAGTTGTTTTAATTTGCATTTCTCTCAACAATAGTGATTTAGAGTATTTTTTCATATGACTACAGATAGCTTTGATTACTTTTTCTTCAAACTGCCTGTTCATATCCTTTGACCATTTATCAATTGAGGAA